AAAATAAAGAATACTCTAACCCATTACAAATTTAAGATTAATAACTATTAAAACAAAAACAAAACAATAGCATGCATCTATCATGTTAAGTATCTGCCTCTTTCTACTAAAATGCTTTGGAACTCTTCTAATATTCTTTAAATGATGTTACATACACTCCTGGTTGAACAAACCAATCTTAAAAAGTAAACCCACAAAACCCACACGTTGATCAAGTGCGTTATAAGGTGGGGCATCCAAGGAAAAATATAACTCCCGAAAATTACAATTTCTTTCACAAGTTGATGTTTCCCCCAATGTTTTCAAACCCGAACCGGAGGTCAAACCGTTTTGACCTCCGGTTCGCGGTTTGAACGGTTCAACCGGTAAAACCACCGGTTATTTAAATACTATAAATATATGATTTTGCAAAAGATATCACGCGGTGTAGTTGGGTTGCAATGGTAGATGGCTGATCTCTCTATAAGAGAGATTTGGAGTTCAAGTCCACTCGATAACAAATTTTAATATAATTGTGCTTTAAACATAGAATAAGTATATTGTTAAGCACTAAAATGACAAAAGGACATTGTGTTCAAGTGGAAAAACCGATGTTTTACAACATGGAGATTAAATGTTCGAATCTCAAGCTTGTAATCAGTAATATGGTTAAAATCTTTGGGATTTATATGGGTTAAATAAATGTCCAAGCATCCGTTGACCAAAGAATTGCATTGTCCTGGTGGCAAAGTATCAACCTAAAGACTTTAAGGTTGCGAGGTCAAATCCCGGCGGGCACAATTTTCTCAAAATTTTATGCCCAAGCATTGAACCGTCCGGTTGAACGGTTTGAGCGGTTTCAAACGGTTCACCGGTTCGAACGGTTTCAAACGGTTTAACCATTTAAATGGTTCAAAAAGTGTAACCAAACCGTTTAACTCACCGGGTACTGGTTCAACCGATCCGGTCCGGTTTTCAAAACCTTGGTTTCCGCTTTTTGTTTTTCAATTTTCAGTGCTCATTCATTTCCACAAGGTGCCCCCCGCATTAATTTCCAAAAGTCATTGCCCTTTCCTTATGAATGGAAGGGATGACGAAAGAAGCCGTCCAATTATATCTACTATGGGTGTTCATATCCAATCCAATCCGATTGATCCGACTTAAACTGATTCAATTCGATTAAAAATCAAACCAAATCGATATAAAATTGGATTGATTTGGATTATAAAAATTTAAAACTGATATAATTGGTTTGGTTTGTGGTTTTACTTTCAAACTGTCCGAACTGCCCTATTATAAAAAAAAAATCCGATTATAAAATAACTTAATTAAATAATATAATATTTTTATAATATTTCAAAATTTTTTTCTTATTTTACAAGATAATGACTCTATTGATTTAATTAAAAATAAAAATAGCATATCTTATATTTTCTAATTTATTTTTTCTTTTTTTTAATTATATACCTAAATTTTAATTCTAAATTTCAAATTCACCTACAATTCTACCTTTATAAGTGAGTTGCAACTTTTTCTTAAAACCCTACCTTCTTGAGTAGCATGCACTTGCCAAGGTTGTCGTCTTCATTTTCCTGGGTTTATTCTTAAACACATAATATGGGTGTCGACACCATGGGTTAATAGTCCAAAATCAAACTTTTTGTTTCTTGTTTTATGTCGATACGTAATTCAGAGTGTCAGCATTATACGTTCAGCGTCAAACATTCAAGTTTCTTATTCTGTTTCAAATCTTACTTCTATTTCAATTAGGGTTTCTAAAACCTTATAAATACTCATCTAAATTTAGAATTAAAAGAGCTTAGGAGGCTGGTGGGAGCCCTCTTTTGGGTATTCTTGGATATCAAAATAAAAATTTAAGAATTTGTTTATAATATCTAAATCTTTTCAATTTTTACAATTGTAAAATAGTATAAGAATTTGTTTATAATTTGTACTTTTTTTAATTATATATGTTTCTATTTATTTGGATATTAACGTATTTTATATTTATGTTTTTTTACTTAATGTTAAATTTATTTATATTATCTCATATATTTAATAGTGTTAAAAACCGATCAATCCGATCGAACCACACCGATCCGATTTAAATTAAATTGGTTTGGTTATCATATAATAGTGGATTAGATTGGTTTAAAAATTTTACTAACCGATTAAATTAAATTTGATTAAAAAATATTAAAATCCAAACCAAACCACCCTGTAAACACCCCTAATATCTACCTACGTTCTTTGTTCTTGTAATCGTGTCCCACAAAATGGAAAGTTCTTCTAACTGCTTCCACTGAAATAAAGTAACAAAAGTAAAGGAAGTATCTTTAATTAAATAAAGATTTATAAATTAATAAATTCAAAGATTAGTAGTTGTTACTATACTAATAATTTTTTTAAATAAATTTAATTTTTTATTATTGAAGTACAAAAAATACTTCAAATTCAGTATATCACACATAATTTTTTTTAAAATTTTTTTGATATTTAATAATAATATTAAATCTTAATTAATTTAAAATTAAATTACGTTGAACCCCATTAAAATAAAAATTCTCTCAATATTTATTTTTTTATTTATAAAACTCAAATTTAAAATTTTATTTATAAAATATTAAATTTTTTTCACTCACACTAAGAAATCATTAATACACTGTAACAACATATAACCCTCCCTCTTACAATATCTATTAAAGTTTGTGCCCGTGCTACTGCTCCTTGCCCTTCGGCCGGTCAGATGCTTTTGACACCCACATTCTTATCATGTTTCTTGCCACTATATCTTTTGTCCTCATGTAATCATGTTTCTGGCCACATTCTTATCAAGTTCCTTATCATGTTAATGGACTAATAATTAAATTTAAAATTTAATTTATATAAAAAAATCTGTAACACAGATTAGTAATAATGACAAAACATGGCCAGCCTTAGTCTCGATTGTACCTAAATTTATAGTAATAGCTTGATCGTATGTACTGAGCTGGCTATATGACAAGCCTAAACTTGCGAGGTCATGGTCCATTTCAAAGTTTTAATATTTGGGTTATTAAACTTTAAAACAAAATAACATGCAGCTTTATCACAGGTCACTTAAAGCCCATTTCTAATAAAAGCATCAAATTTGCGGGAAGTGCCAAGAGAGTGCTGTATGGTGGAAACTATGGTTGAGCCTTTGTGTTTTGTTTTCTGATAGTAGAATCCTTCCCTTTCTCAAGCTTGTTAAGGGTTGAGTACTCCTCTACTCTTATTAATAAATTTTTTGCTTTTTTTAAAAAAGAAGTGTGTGGTAGCCTTGTTGATTGTTTGGTAGAGTGCTATACGATGTTGAAGCAAACCTATTTGTATGTGAATCGGAATATTCCTTTATTTTATTCTTTATTACTAAATTTTATTTATCAAAAAGTAGAAATTAGAAAACAAACCCAAAATTAGAATCTTATATGGATTTGATGACTCGAAATGACCCCTAAATCTTGTAGTGCTGGTAGCTTGACATATAACTCTATGTAAGGTTTTTCAGAAAAATAATTAGTATATATTCGGTTCAACATATTTTTTTATATTCATCCTAATTTAGCTACAAAAATATAATATAAAAATAATTAATTCAGCTAGTTCATATATTTTATATGCATGATTATATTTTTAAATTTATATATTTCTAATTTAATATTAAAATTTAATAATTTTTAATAAATATATTATATAATATATTGAACCATAATATATATCAATCAATATCTGCTATTTGGTTTTTTATACCTAGTAAATAACTTCTTCCAATTGAAAGTTAAAATGCATAAAGGTCATAAAAAACCCAATGATCCAACATGTTTTGAATTCAAAATATCAGTGACTTAAAAGATATTTACCCAATTCTATATTTATTACTTAAATCACCTATGCCCTCATTCACATGAACAACGACATGATCCCCTTTATTCCTGTTAGTTGGCAACCACAATTATAAAATAAAGAAAACCTTTAGGCCTAATTAATTGTATGGTAAGACCATAACACCATTCATCGAACTAAAAAATTTTTAAAGCCCTTACATGTTGCACACTTTTACCTTGTTTCAAAACCTTTATTCTCTATGGTCAATACCAAACTCTCCCAAGGAACCATGGGTCATGACACCATTCATTAATTCAAGCATTGAACAAAAAAATAGCTTTCTAGATTGGACTCGCGACATAATCACATGAAAGATTTTGATTGAATCAAATTAAATCCAATTATTTCTCCTCAATTTTATAATAAAATCACATAACAAAATACAACGAAAACATTAGAGTTAAATACTCCTCCTTAAATCTTTCTTGAATTCTTTAATGCACCCATGTTTTCTTGATAAAGGTAATGGTTAGGAAATTAGTATGAATTAGTTGTTAACAACTGGGATTTTCCAGATCGAGTGAACATTTCACCCCCTCAAATGAGACGCGGTCATCAGGCAATGCACCCATGTTATCTAATACTCTAATTAAGTAGAGAAATCACTCCATAGGAGCAAAGGCATTTCTCTCATCACCGTTGTGGGTTAAGTTCTCGTAAATCTAAGTTGTTGGCCCAAAATGTCATAAACCTAAAAGTCAGACACACCTGCTATTATGGAAGAGTGAACGAATCTTCTTTAC